CTGAATGTTCAACAACCCTGTTTCTTGGTTTTCAGGTTCAATTTCTCTAGTGGATGTGGGTCGTCTTTTGTTTAACACTACACTCAGCAATATTCTAGGTAAATGAGGAAGTCTTTGATAGGCATTTAGAGGTTGGGAGCACATGAAGACTACATTGTGTTGTGTAAATATATAATGACTTATGTTTGTTTGTTGTTTACCGCCGCACTCAGCAATACTCCTGCTATATGACGGCGGTCTGTAAATATCGAGTCCGGAACAGGCAATCCAGTGATTGATATCATGAGCATCGATCTACGTAATCGGTATACGATGACATGCATCAACCGAGTCAGCGAGCCTGACTACCCAATCCATCTAGTCGCCTCTTACGACCAGAAAATGTCCCTTGGGACCTATTCTAACCCGGACTTCCCACGGGGTTGTATATGTATGAGTATTTTATGTATGTTTTATTTATTCATTTAATGATTACCCTTAATTCAGAAAGCAGTTTTCTTAATGGTGCTAATAGAACATCTTTTCGAGGCAAGGGGATTAACTGATTGTAAAGATCCATTTTCCACCCTTGCCGGACTAGGCTGGAATTCCGGAGTTACATTTTGGCTGGACTAACGAGTCTATGCATCGTCCTATCAAAATCGCCCAACGAACGAGACATTCGGTTCGTGAACAACATGGATTTCAACGTGCAGGAACTGTACCCTCAACTGGGCTTTCACAGATATTTTGCAAGTCTTTTCAGTTTTTAATCAAGGTGTTCAAGTGATTTGATGCACTTCGCTGGGTAAGACCCGTTATACCCATAAAGATCTTGATTATCGATAAGATCGTCTTAGCCACTGATGGGGCAACGATCGACCCACGAAATTCCAGCCAAATTCGGCAAGGGTGGAAAATGTCAGTTAACGCCCTTGCCTCGGGACGACGCTAACTGCAATGTGGACAAGGCAGAACATGGAGTACCATACCGTGGAGTGAAGTCCCCCTTCAAGGAATAGTGTTTGCGTAATTTGACTTCCGATGTTAAATCGAAGAAACAAATGTTCCTAAGTGGAAAGTTGAATTGTTTGATAGACATTACTTAAAAATTGACGGATGACAAAGTGGACACAATTGATGGATACAAACCTAGAAACATAATCGGGACGAACCCACAACCATAGGTTTCTGGCGTGCCCAAGGGACGCAACTCCCCAAGCCCCCTGTAACTACAAGACAACCCGCCCTTCTTGGTGAGGTGAGGTGAGATTTAATGTCGCATTTAAGATTATTGCACTTATAGAGCAACGTGCACATGTGTGTGTGTGAGTGTCTGTTCGTACTGGTCCCAACCAACGTCGGTTTTATTGCTCTAATTCACTGAGATACCATGTGAACCATGTGAGCCATGACTACCCACACAGACACAGTATACTGACTCCGAGTCAACCAGTCCTGGTTTTATTCCCTTAATACCGAGCGCCAGGCAGGGTAACAATAGGTACCATTTTTAACGGCTGTTTGTATATGGCGCGGCCGGGGATCGAACCCCGCTCTGCTTGGAGGGGAACACCAAATAGCATTATAACGGCTATTTGTATATGACGCGGCCGGGGATCGAACCCCGCTCTGCTTGGAGGGTAACAACAAGTACCATTTTAACGGCTATTTGTATAAGACGCGGCCGGGGATCGAACCCCGCTCTGCTTGGATGGTAACAACAAGTACCATTATAACGGCTGTTTGTATATGACGCTGCCGGGGATCGAATCCCGCTCTGCTTGGAGGGTAACAACAAGTACCATTTTAACGGCTACTTGTATATTACGCTGCCGGGGATCGAACCCCGCCCTGTTAGGAGGGTAACAACAAGTACCATTTTAACGGCTATTTGTATATGACGCGGCCGGGGATCGAATCCCGCTCTGCTTGGAGGGTAACAACAAGTACCATTTTAACGGCTACTTGTATATTACGCTGCCGGGGATCGAACCCCGCCCTGCTTGGAGGGTAACAACAAGTACCATTTTAACGGCTACTTGTATATTACGCTGCCGGGGATCGAACCCCGCCCTGCTTGGAGGGTAACAACAAGTACCATTTTAACGGCTACTTGTATATTACGCTGCCGGGGATCGAACCCCGCCCTGCTTGGAGTATCAGCAACAAAATCGCTGTCTTTGGTCACATATGATTCTGTCTTTGCTTCCTATGTAATTCTGTGCAGGGATTCGTGTGATGAAACCCTTACCCATGTACACTTGACAATGCCATTTGTAGCTAGGCGGGGCCTCCCTGACAACGGTTATGACAAACCCACCTTGTGACGTCATGAGTGTATACGGATACCTGTTTATGTCATCATCCGCTCCACAAATACAGACGTAGCATCATTGATATTGTCCATAATTAAACCGGGAACCTTATACAACGGCATCTAACTAAAATAACCTATTGCTATCGATTGAGACAATGTGTTTCTTATGCAGATAACATTTAGTGTGGGAGTATGGTTGTTATGTTCGACGTTCTTGACTCAAGGCAGTTCCAAAAAACATTTATGAACACGAGAATGGCGTATTTGCGTCAATTTTTGTTTACTTTGTTGTTTAACGTTGCACTCTGCAATAGCCTTTGTACAGCTATAGCAGATACGTCAGTTATTTGACTGTATATTTTGTCATAGCAGAGAGAAGATTCGCCAACAGAAACAAGTATGGGTGAGATGACATATGCCATGGGGTTTAACGTCGCGTGCACTTATATAGCGATGTGCATGCATGTGTGTGTCTGCTTGTACTAGTTAAAAACGGCGTTAAACCCAACTCACTCACTCACTCACTCTGCTTGTACTAGTTCGGACTAATGCCGATTTTATAGTGCTAGCCCACTAGGATACCATGGCGCAGTTTAACATGAATACCCCACTCAGACACAGTATGCTGACTCCGAACCGATCAGTCCTTTGATTTAGCCCCTTAATGGCGAGGCCCAGGCAGGGTAACAACAAGTACCATATTTTAACATTCTCATTAAAATCAGATGTTAGTTCTCGCTACCGCTAAACAAAGATCTGAGGACATCCCATTACGGGTCACATCAGACCGACCTTGCGCGATCTTTGACCGACCAATGGAATGACCAATCAGAAGGCAGCTTTCTCCAGCGTTACGGCACTAATTTCAAATTGGCAACTACGCTTCGAAACATATTTTGACAAATTCTCCATTACAAATTTGAAACCTGAATAAAAGAACATTCTGGAATGGCTACTAGATAGTCTAGATTGTATGGATTCGGTCGTTAAACCCGTAACCATCGTTCGGAATACCCCGTGTTAAAGTTTTGGAGGTTGCACGATTAGAAATCACATTCCGACTGTCACTTTCAAAATCTGGTAAGCAACGCTCTAAATGGGCGGATGAAAGGTCGTTCTGACGTGATCCCTTATGGGATGTCTTCAGATCCTTTTTTGCGGTAGCGAGAACTAAGGTCACCGTCTGATTTTAATGAGACTGCATCTTTAAACGCCCTCCCACTAGACCACGGAGCCGGTCGCCGAAGACACCATCAAAGAGGCGGTAGTTTAGATATGTAAATTGGCGGTCAAATGAAAATAAACACCCATGGTGGCTAACAATGAAACAAGCAGGAAATGGTTTTTCGATGGTATGGGTATCGTAGTTGTATCTTGGACCTTAATTGAAATTTTCTGGGTTTGTCAGCACCATACCCCTCCTTTCACAAAGTGGTAAACGTCCAAGAAAGCACATCGGACTTTTCTCCCACATCAAGTGATATAACTGGCATACTGTTCAAAACGGCGTTAAACCAAACACATTCACCCAATTTCAACCAGTATCTCAGCAGATACCAAGTATGATCTGTGATTTAAACAATTCCTTTCGGGGCATAATAACCTGCCGGGCAAAAGAAAGTATACACCCATGTCTGATGGTGACCAAATATGAACCAAACAAGAAATGATTATTCGACGGTGATGTATTTTATACAGGTATCGCAGATCTTTTTCGTACCTTAAGTGGGGCGGTCGGGTAGCCTAGTGGTTAAAGCGTTCGCTCGTCACGCCGATGACCCGGGTTCGATTCCCGACATGGGTGAAATGTGTGAAGCCCATTTCTGGTGTCCCCCGCCGTGATATTGCTGGAAAATTGCTAAAAGGGCCGTAAAACCATACTCACTCACTCACTCACTCCTCGTACCTTAAGTTTGGAGTGTTTCGGCGACTGTTTTCAGCCTAGTAACGTTTTGGCAACGTTTGTACTTTGTATACTTTGTTTTGCCTTGCAGTTTAGATCCCGAACGCCGAAAACGTGTAAGAGGAGACCAGCTACGTTTAGGATGAGGTGGTTGCAGGGCGTGACTTGCGCCCCGTTCCGCGAATACACCTATAGGCTCTAGGGCTGTTGTTAGCATGGGAGTTACGATAGGGTCCTGATATTCTGTCATATACGACGTTATGCTCTTGCTATCAACCACCGTCGTGATATAGCTTGCATGTTGATGACATTGGCACAAAACAACATGCATTCCATCTATCCAATAATTCCTCACCCATTTCTCCTCTTGGTAGAACTCAAGCAGTACCTGATCCACTGGCCATGCTTTTGAAAGGTTTAATAAATAACGTGAGGTGAGGTGAAATGGGGTTAAATGTCGCGTCCAAGATTATTGCACTTATATAGCGACGTGCATGCATGTGTGTGGCTGCTTGTACTAGTCCGGACTGATGCCGATTTATAGTGCTAGCCCACTGAGATACCATGCCGCAGTTTAACATGAATACCACACTCAGACACAGTATACTGACCCTGAGCCGACCAGTCCTTGTTTTAGCCCCTTAATGGCAAGCGCCAGACAGGGTAACAACAAGTACCATCTTTCACGTCTTTTGGTATGACGCGGCCGGGGATCGAGCCCCGGACCTTTCTCTCTCCGGGCGGAGGCGCTACCTCTAGACCACCTAGGCGGTCTTGAATAAATGAACACAAATGGAACACATTGTACGTATTCAATGGATTGAAATATTCACAACACAAGTATAGATAAAATACACCCAAAATGTACAATTTCAACAGAAGATCTTGTGTAACGAAACACATACAGGTTATAAATAAATATGTCATTTTCATATATTTCTTTTACCAAAGTAAAAGAGAGCCAACGCAAAAATAAGTTCATCAGCAAGCGTTGTGGTCAATATTCATTTCTGTTTCTGTCCAGGGAAATACATTTGTAAGTAGTTGTACAGAGTACATGGTGAAATCAACAAAATGGCGGCACCAATGTTTTTCATTATTTTTGCAAAAGCAAACTACTTTGATGTGTCGGAGATTTCAGTTTTCCTTTACGAGATGACCACAAGCTGGACAATCCAATATCATCGTTGCGAGGTCAGTTGGCCACCAGAAAGTAACACAAATCACAGAAGGAAAATATGGTCGATACTAATTTCTGCACGACTGTTCTGCACGAACTTCATTCAGACGAACTTCAGATGGCTCATTTGTTACATCTTGTCACGCGGTCCGTTGTTTGCCGGTTGTGGGTGTGGCAAAATTCCCCATACTCCTCCCACGAGCAGGCTTTCATATAACAACACTCCTCCATAATTCCCCGTTTTACAATTTTGTGACCAACAGTCTTTGTCTTATGTCCAGTGGCCAAAAACGCAGCAGAGGCATGACGGGTAATAAAGATGGACGCTTTCTTCTCGCCTGAAATACAACAAAATCTTTAAGTTAAATCAAACAAAAAACATTAGAAGCAAGCAAAAATAAAACGGCCTACATTCAGAGCAACGCAGTCTGTTTGAAATACATCGTGATGTTATTGGATGCGGACGCAGATGTGGAAATATCAGAAATACGACACACTCAAAAATACCCATATTGTCTAAAACCGACGTAATAGATATTAACCAGCACGAGCTTCCATCTGATGCCATGACACGAAGATAATCTTGCGAGAGTGTGTTGTAAATTGGCAATACTACACTGGTGAGCCATGGTGGATATATTCCATATATACCATGATATTAGTCATAGTTGGATTAACCTTTAGTAATACCCACACTGACTCCGTAGTTTACTGACATTGGCTACAAAGCCTGTCCCTGTACGTGTCCACCGAAAGTTTATACCGTAACGCACTGGAATCGGATTTCAAAGAATGTTGGATGCTTACCCAGTCAACACGTAATGTCTGTGCTGACGATATGTAATTGAAATTTTGATACGGTAAACACATTAATTTTATATAGGGAATATATGGTATCAAATTAAATGTAAGAGGGATAAATTGAAAAATACACGACATAAATTTGTCACGTGTAACTTATGAATTTCCATCGATATCAGAACTAACTTTATGATTCTTCAAGGGACGTAAACGTCCATACATCCTGGAGAACAAGCCCGAAAAAGGCGATATATTTGTTATTTCCACGTTTTTTCGTTTATATTTATATTTTCCATTTGTGTGAAAGGTTGATTTCTGTGATGTTTCGTATGTAAGTCTAATTTCGTATTATGTTTCGTATACTAGTATTAGTTCAAATTCCGTGATATTTCGTATATCAATTAGTTCATATTCCGTGATGTTTCGTGTATTTATTAAATTTCCGCGTTGTTTCGCAATGTTGTTTACCACATATATACAATTATATATATCATAACAACGAATTAGTTCACTCGACTATTTCCCTGAAATTCGTATGGAAGTTCATGCTCTCCATCGCTTCTCGGGTCTTTCAGCTCTCGGGTTGCCATGGTGACACAAGTTATCACAAAGTTCGAGAAGATGGGCATGACACTACATATCAATATGACATATTATTTGTTTCAGATGGCATTTTAAAGGATTAGAATCGAGACAACTTTCAGATATATAGTAAGTACATGCACACGATGTAACTTCAATTTCTTCCATCAGCTAAAGTCAAATGTTAATATGGAGCTGCCATGTCCTTGCACGGGAGGTTCAGCCATGTCATATAAGACAGCATCTCCGAACAACTCCACTCAGTAGTATATGGAAAGTAGTCAAATATTCAAATACCTCAAACCTTTTAAATTGTTGGACATGTTAAGCCTCCGGGGATTTAGAAGACCGACACCATTACCCATGTACACTATTTGAGTTTACGGGAGAGACGATTGCAAGCTATCTGTCGTGTTTTATGTCAAGGGAACTGAGAAACCTTGGCGATTAGTAGGAATTTGATTACCATAGCGTGTATGGCTTGTCTATTCGTTTTGCATTGCCATGTATACATAAACCGAGGAGCAAAAAAGATATACCGAATTTGTTTTTTATGCAATTGAAAATTGAAAGAACTGTTGTTAAATTTGAATATGTGTAAGTAACCGTCACTCAATCATACAACAGTTTGTAAAATGTAATCCGTGGCTGGGTAATTGTGTGTAAAAATCGATTGGTTAAATGTAGACTATAGGGTAAAAAAGGTTCAATGAAGACTATAGGGTAAAAAAGGTTCAATGAAGACTATAGGGTAAAAAAGGTTCAATGAAGACTATAGGGTAAAAAAGGTTCAATGAAGATTCTAGGGTAAAAAAAGGTTCAATGAAGACTATAAGGTAAAAAAGGTTCAATGAAGACTATAAGGCAAAAAAGGTTCAATGAAGACTATAGGGTAAAAAAGGTTCAATGAAGACTATAGGGTAAAAAGGGTTCAATGAAGACTATAGGGTAAAAAAGGTTCAATGAAGACTATAGGGTAAAAAAGGTTCAATGAAGACTATAGGGAAAAAAAGGTTCAATGAAGACTATTAGGTAAAAGAGGTTCAATGAAGACTATAGGGTAAAAAAGGTTCAATGAAGACTATAGGGTAAAAAAGGTTCAATGAAGACTATAGGGTAAAAAAGGTTCAATGAAGACTATAGGGTAAAAAAGGTTCAATGAAGACTATAAGGTAAAAAAGGTTCAATGAAGACTTTAGGGTAAATAAGGTTCAATGACGACTATAGGGTAAAAAAGGTTCAATGAAGACTATAGGGTAAAAAAGGTTAAATGAAGACTATAGGGTAAAAAAGGTTCAATGAAGACTATAGGGTAAAAAAGGTTCAATGAAGACTATAAGGTAAAAAAGGTTCAATGAAGACTATAAGGTAAAAAAGGTTCAATGAAGACTATAGGGTAAAAAAGGTTCAATGAAGACTATAAGGTAAAAAAGGTTCAATGAAGACTATAGGGTAAAAAAGGTTCAATGAAGACTATAGGGTAAAAAAGGTTCAATGAAGACTATAGGGTAAAAAAGGTTCAATGAAGACTATAGGGTAAAAAAGGTTCAATGAAGACTATAGGGTAAAAAAGGTTCAATGAACAATGTATCCCCTATCATGTTTGAAATGTTGTAAACTTGTGTCGAAGAATGCATATTGATTTTCAAAGATAAGAAGACTGTGATACAGATCAGCAGTTGCGAGTTGTTTTTGAATAATTAATCGTTTGAAATAAATTTCTATAACAAAAAAATATACAACCACGTAGAAGTTTTCTAAGTTCCATTTTTGGCTATGATATCGCTAGCTTAAGCTATTTTCAACTGACAATCAAACATATGATAAAATCAACATTGGGATGTGTTGTTTCTTTTACTCCTCAGTTGAGTATTTTTTATTTTTCAGAGCTATCCCAGATAAACCAGAGCGGCATTGCACTGTTGTTCCAAGGGGATGATGTTATGTTGTTTTGGAGAGCGTGGTTGTGTTGTTTTGGAGGGCCTGGTTGTGTTGTATTAGAGGGCGTGGTTGTATGGTATTGGATGATGTAGTTGTGTTGTACTGCAGGGTGTGGTTGTGTTGTTTTGGAGGGCGTGGTTGCGTTGTATTAGAGGGCGTGGTTGTATTGTATTGGAGGATGTAGTTGTGTTGTATTAGAGGGCGTGGTTGTATTGTATTGGAGGATGTATTTATGTTGTATTGAAGGATGTATTTATGTTGTATTTTGAAGGGTTGATTGTGTTTTATTGGAGGGCGTGATTGTGTTGTATTGGAGGATGTATTTATGTTGTATTGGAGGATGTATTTATGTTGTATTGAAGAGTGTGGTTTGGTTGTATTGGAGGATGTATTTATGTTGTATTGAAGGATGTATTTATGTTGTATTGAAGGGCTTGATTGTGTTTTATTGGAGGGCTTGGTTGTGTTGTATTGGAGGGCGTGGTTGTGTTGTATCGAAGGATGAATTTATGCTGTATTGGAAGATGTATATATGTTGTATTGAAGGGCGTGGTTGTATTGTATTGGAGGATGTATTTATGTTGTATTGAAGGATGTATTTATGTTGTATTGAAGGGTTTGATTGTGTTTTATTGGAGGGCGTGGCTGTGTTGTATTGGAGGATGTATTTATGTTGTATTGGAGGATGTATTTATGTTGTATTGAAGAGTGTGGTTTGGTTGTATTGGAGGGTGTATTTATGTTGTATTGGAGGGTGTATTTATGTTGTATTGAAGAGTGTGGTTTGGTTGTATTGGAGGATATAATTATGTTGTATTGAAGAGCGTGGTTTGATTGTATTGGAGGATATATTTATGTTCTTTTGGAGGGCGTGGTTTGATGTATTGGAGGATGTTTTTATGTTGTATTGGAGGATGTATTTATGTTGTATTGAAGAGCGTGGTTGTGTTGTATTTGAGGATATATTTACGTTGTATTTAAGAGTGTGGCTGTGTTGTATTGGAGGATGTATTTATGTTGTATTGAAGAGCTGGCTGTGTTGTATTGGAGGATGTATTTATGTTGTATTGAAGGGCGTGGTTGTGTTTTATTGGAAGATGTATTTATGTTGTATTGAAAATCGTGATTCTGTCGTTTTGAATTGGGTATTTATGTTGTATTGGATAATGAATTCATGTTGTATTGGAGGATGTATTTATGTTGTATTGAAGAGCGTGGTTGTGTTGTATTGGAGGATGTATTCATGTTGTATTGAAGAGCATGGTCGGTTGTATTGGAGGATGTTTTCATGTTGTATTAAAGAGCGTGGTTGTGTTGTATTGGAGGATGTATTCATGTTGTATTGAAGTGCATGGTTGTGTTGTTTTGGATGATGTATTCATGTTGTATTGAAGAGCATGGTCGGTTGTATTGGAGGATGTATTTAAGTTGTATTGAAGAGTTTGGTTGTGTTGTATTGGAAGATGTATTTATGTTGTATTGAAAATCGTGATTCTGTCGTTTGAATTATGTATTAATGTTGTATTGTAGAATGTATTCATGTTGTTTTGGAGGATGTATTCATGTTGTATTGAAGAACATGGTCGGTTGTATTGGAGGATGTATTCATGTTGTATTGAAGAGTGTGGTTATGTTGTATTGGAGGATGTATTCATGTTGTATTGAAGCGCATGGTTGTGTTGTATTGGATGATGTATTCATGTTGTATTGAAGAGCATGGTCGGTTGTATTGGAGGATGTATTTAAGTTGCATTGAAGAGTGTGGTTGTGTTGTATTGGATGATGTATTTACGTTGTATTGGAGGGCGTGGTTGTGTTGTATTTGAGGATGTAGCTATGTTGTTGTGGCAGTCGCAATTGTGTTGTATTGAAGGGCGTAGCTTGATCTATGTTGGTGTCCTCGGATAATGAACATTCTTACAGACATAAACATCCAACTTACTGTCGCCATCGTGATCAGGGACGTGCTTCCTCGCTACGGTGCTGTTCACGGAACGCTTTGAGATAATTTTGTAGGGGTCATAGCTGCATGCGAGGTTAATATGTTCTATCAACTGGGCGCGGCAGCGTCGGTGACAATCGGTGTGCCACAGATCGTACAGTTCTTCCCCCGATAAGCTGCGGAATCTGAAACAGACCCGGAAGTGTGCAAACAATAATGCATTTCATCGTCAATACTAATGCTAATAATCATGAGGCTTATTATCGAAATTATTAACAACTTTTAACTATAGTAGAAAGAGTAATATGTGGGCGAATGTAAGCAACTAAAGGTTGAAGAAACTTTAGGGTAGAATCCAAAAAATATTCGTGGAAGAACTGGCAATTTATCTCAAACAGAGATGTATTTTGATAGTTTTAAAATATGGTGCCAAGATTCTACCCCCAACAAGTGTTTCCCTTACATAAGTGAGTAAGTTAGTTATATTTTACGCCAATTTTCCAGTGGCTACTTTGATGAAAAACACGAGCACAAAGTTTCACAACCGGAGCGAATCTGGGGTTCAAAACCACGATGAGTGTATCCTGGCTGCAAAGGGACAGAACTCCAAATTGACGAAGACAAAATACAGTGCTTAATGTGCCGTGGTCAGTTGACTGATCCCTATGACCGCTATGTCGTCGTTCGTGTCTTCTACAACTACCTCTACTACCACAGCGTCTACATCTTCTTGTATTACCATTAATTCTACTTATTCTTCTACTTCGTCCCCTAATTCTACCTCCACGATGTTTATTTATTGTAAAAATACTGTCATATTTCTGCGCTCCCTCTCCAACAGGCAGGGGACACGGGTGGCCGAGTCGTCTAAGGCGCCGCAATTCGCTTTGCAGAGTTGCTTCCCTTTGGCACGCCGAAAACCTATGACTGTGGGTTCGAACCCCGGTTTCTATGTTTTTCGTGGATTTCACAAAAGTGGTAAACGTCTGCGACCTCCCCCCTCCCCCAAACATTAAGCTGACATTCCGTGATAAAACTGTTCAGGGGGACGTTGAACCCAGCTCACTTACTCACTCACTCACTCACTCCATACTACTACTACGACGACGACAACGACGACTGCATGGACTATTTCATCCCTTGCGGCTCCATTTACTTGAATAGGTTCAGTTATGGATTTCTAAGTGCACTGTGGTTTTACAGGACATTGTGCAGAACACGTAGTCTCGCTTGTTGGCAGTACACTTAACCTTGAACAGTTGTCCCAATCATGTGAGCCCTTGTGAACCTGATATCTGAACGTGACGTCATTGGCACTCTCAGAAAACAGAAGCCTTGTGCAGATCCACCGCGCTGTTATCACCTCACGAAAAGGAATTTACGAATCAACATATCATTATTTTATATACTGATAAGATGGTAAATATTTACTCGGGTTCCCTCACATACTCTCTAGGAAACAACCACGGGGTCCGTTTTCTGTATCGTTAAATTCTGTCAGTTGTTATTTAATTTAGGTCAATATGATAATGTTGCCATGATGGTGCCATGCGGGAAATCTCAATGACAGCAACACTATTGACCAGATTCCTTCAGACAAACAATGCCATTTGAATGTGAGGTGTGATAGTTGACCATTTGAAAATATTTTGCTGGACACACAGTCCCAAGGACACATGCTTCAGTGTTTGTTTTAGTCACTTTGTCTATGAAAACACATTTTTTTATAATATAAAATTAATATATTAATATATTTCTTAAAAATAATTGTTAAATACCCTTTTTAATAGAACATTTTCTCCTTTGCTGTGTGTAATCAAGGAAAACTAGACTTGGTTTCATTTCATATAGACTTGCCAAGGCTTTTTGTATCTTTTAAAATGTAAAATCCACAGTCATGTCTAGCTTTGTCACTATGTACATTTTTATGATAACAATTCTTATTTGACCTTTGTCTGGGAAGTCAGCTTATGATAGAACAAGTAATATCCATATTTGGATCTGGTCTCAGTGAGTTAGAGAGTGAGTATGGTTTTACGCCGCTTTTAGCAATATTCCAACAACGCCTCACTACAAAAGCACATATAGGTTTGCCCGCTTATCTTGAAAAGATCCATTTAGTATGAACCAAAATACAATAAAAAAAACCCAACAAAACAATTTTCTGTAATCGGAAGAATCGTGCAAGATTAGCGTGGCCTGGATGATTGTGTGTATGCTAAGTGTGACCTGGGTGATTGTGTGTATGCTAAGTGTGACCTGGATGATTGTATGTATGTATGACCTGGATGATTGTGTGAGTGCCAAGTGTGCCCGGATGATTGTGTGTATGCTAAGTGTGACCTGGATGATTGTGTGAGTGCCAAGTGTGACCTGGATGATTGTGTGTGTGCAAAGTGTGACCTGGATGATTGTGTGTATGCAAAGTGTGACCTGGATGATTGTGTGAGTGCCAAGTGTGCCTGGATGATTTTGTGTATGCTAAGTGTGACCTGGTTGATTGTGTGTGTGCCAAGTGTGCCCTGGATGATTGTGTATATGCTAAGTGTGACCTGGATGATTGTGTGTATGCTAAGTGTGACCTGGTTGATTGTGTGTATGCTAAGTGTGCCCTGGATGATTGTGTATATGCTAAGTGTGACCTGGATGATTGTGTGTATGCAAAGTGTGACCTGGTTGAGTGTGTATATGCAAAGTGTGACCTGGTTGAGTGTGTATATGCTAAGTGTGACCTGGTTGATTGTGTGTGTGCCAAGTGTGCCCTGGATGATTGTGTATATGCTAAGTGTGACCTGGATGATTGTGTGTATGCTAAGTGTGACCTGGTTGATTGTGTATATGCTAAGTGTGACCTGGATGATTGTGTGTATGCTAAGTGTGACCTGGTTGATTGTGTGTGTGCCAAGCGTGCCCTGGATGATTGTGTATATGCTAAGTGTGACCTGGATGATTGTGTGTATGCTAAGTGTGACCTGGTTGATTGTGTGTATGCAAAGTGTGCCCTGGATGATTGTGTATATGCTAAGTGTGACCTGGATGATTGTGTGTATGCAAAGTGTGACCTGGTTGATTGTGTGTATGCAAAGTGTGCCCTGGATGATTGTGTGTATGCTAAGTGTGCCCTGGATGATTGTGTATATGCAAAGTGTGACCTGGATGATTGTGTGTGTGCAAAGTGTGACCTGGATGCTTGTGTGTGTGCAAAGTGTAACCTGGATGATTGTGTGTATGCCAAGTGTGACCTGGATGATTGTGTGTATGCTAAGTGTGACCTGGATGATTGTGGTTATGCTAAGTGTGACCTGGATGATTGTGTGTGTGCTATATGTGACCTGGATGATTGTGTGTGTGCCAAGTGTGACCTGGATGATTGTGTGTGTGTGCTATATGTGACCTGGATGATTGTGTGTATGCTAAGTGTGACCTGGATGATTGTGTGTATGCTAAGTGTGGCCAGGATGATTGTGTGTGTGCTATATGTGACCTGGATGATTGTGTGTGTGCCAAGTGTGACCTGGATGATTGTGTGTATGCTTAGTGTGACCTGGATGATTGTGTATATGCTAAGTGTGACCTGGATGATTGTGGTTATGCTATATGTGACCTGGATGATTGTGTGAGTGCCAAGTGTGCCCGGATGATTGTGTGTATGCTAAGTGTGACCTGGATCATTGTGTATATGCTAAGTGTGACCTGGATGATTGTGTATATGCTAAGTGTGACCTGGATGATTGTGGTTATGCTAAGTGTGACCTGGATGATTGTGTATATGCTAAGTGTGACCTGGATGATTGTGGTTATGCTATATGTGACCTGGATGATTGTGTGTATGCTAAGTGTGACCTGGATGATTGTGTGAGTGCCAAGTGTGCCCTGGATGATTGTGTGTATGCTAAGTGTGACCTGGATGATTGTGTGTATGCCAAGTATGACGTGGATGATAGTGTGTGTGCTATATGTGACCTGGATGATTGTGTGTGTGCTATATGTGACCTGGATGATTGTTTGTATGCTAAGTGTGACCTGGATGATTGTGTGTATGTTAAGTGTGACCTGGATGATTGTGTGTATGCTAAATGTGACCTGGATGATTGTGTGTATGCTAAGTGTGGCCTGGATGATTGTGTGTATGCCAAATGTGACCTGGATGCTTGTGTGTATGCTAAATGTGACCTGGATGATTGTGTGTATGCTAAGTGTGACCTGGATGATTGTGTGTATGCCAAATGTGACCTGGATGATTGTGTGTATGCTAAATGTGACCTGGATGATTGTGTGTATGCTAAGTGTGACCTGGATGATTGTGTGTATGCTAAGTGAGACCTGGATGATTGTGTGTATGCTAAGTGTGCCCTGGATGATTGTGTATATGCTAAGTGTGCCCTGGATGATTGTGTGTATGCTAAGTGTGACCTGGATGCTTGTGTGTATGCTAAGTGTGCCCTGGATGATTGTGTATATGCTAAGTGTGCCCTGGATGATTGTGTGTATGCTAAGTGTGACCTGGATGCTTGTGTGTATGCTAAGTGTGACCTGGATGATTGTGTGTATGCCAAATGTGACCTGGATGATTGTGCGTATGTACGACCAGGGTGATTGTGTGTGTGTGCGAAATGTGGCCTGGGTGATTGTATGTCATCAATCGTTGCTCATGGTATCATCCCTGATCAGTTACTTTAAGATTGCCGTGATATGGCGACTATAGATGACTGCGGTGTAAAACAACATTACTTCATTGGCTAATTAAAATGACAAGATAAGAGGAAAGGGTTGGTACGTCACTCTTACAAATATGCGACGCCACGAATGGGCAGTTGGTTGTCAATCACTCATGTTGAACTCACATACATGTACTCGACACTTGGTATTTACGGAACTTTGTCATTTGAAGTTTCAGAGACTGGTTTCAAATGTTGTCGGAAAACATGTGAAAAGCGGAACAATGCCGTGAATTAGACAGTTCACGTCTATCACGCAGGGCGACGCACACCGTATAAATACAGACCACAAAGAGTTCTGGTTTATTTGTCTTGGTATACACCACGGAAGTCGGTGTCTTGATCGCGTCACGCCAACAGACTCTAAAAGATGGTACTTGTTTTTACCCTGCCTGGCGCTTGTCATTAAGGGGCTAAAACAAGGACTGTCGGCTCGGAGTCAGTGAACTGAGTGTGAGTGGGGTATC